AAGGGGGGGGGGGGGGTGACTGGGCTTTAATCTTTCCCATCTGTTGCCTCGGGACTGCCCTCCCCCCCCCAAAAAACACCACCACTCAGTCTGTGTCTGTCTGGGTCTGGTACAGTTATGCTAATCCCGGGGCTTACTACCCTCAAAGCTTAGAGGCCTCCATTATTGACCACTATGCATTTATACCAAAAATTCGGCCCCCCTCCCTCCTCCCCTGTATACCTCAACTTTCCCAAATATGTGACACACAGATGACAGAGTGACAGAAGCGGTGTTTACCATCACGCCACGGGGGGGGGGGTATAATCTCAGATTATTTATGAACAAGCAAAAGTTTAAGTTCAGACAGCCTGAAAGCAGTCTTTGTTTAGGACAACATCCTTCCCTTGTAACGAACAGCCATCGCATGCTTTGACGGGCTGCATACTAGCTTGACAGGATGATTTTCCACTACACATGCACCCACTCCGGTGTCACCGCTGGAGGCCTGTGGTCGTCTGGTATGATGGGGTTTTCACCTGTTCTGTGAGAGCTGAGCGGCGCTGTGACACCCCTCGCAAACTCAGACCGATTATAAAACGATTATAAAACGATTATAAACCTATTGGAAACTATTTCGATATAACTTTGTATTAATTTTTCCAAAACAAGTTTTTAAATGTGCTCCACAAATACTTGACCCTTTAGAGTGACACAGCGTGTACTAAGTCCTTGCCGCAGTGGCCCGGGTTCGATTCCCTTTAGCGGGTGTCCTCCCACCTCCCCTGTCACTCTTCAGCTGTTCCTGTCAATAAAGGCAACAAGCCCAAAAACTAATCTTTGTGTGGGGGGGGGGACCTTATCACTAGACCGCTTAATCTCCAGGCTGATATTGGTTTTTTGCAGATGTATCAGTATCGGTGTGTACGCCAGCTGATAAGTGCGTGCAGGAAACGCAGCAAAGAAATGCCAAACTAGATTTGAGGTCATTCAGAAACAGTGTCTTTATTACAGCGACACCACAGAAACTGTCCCACTGAGGATGTATCGTGGTCACAATTTTAAAACTAAATCTAAGGAATCCCTATGAAGATTGTTGATGTCGTGTATTTTATTTTTAATACTCCCAAATACCACCCAAAACCCAGTATCAGTTCGACTATACTCCCCCAGAGGAATGCTGAGGGTGCACTACTGGTCTGAAACCTGCACCTTTCTTCTGTTGCTGTAACCATTATAAGCTGATGTGGATAGAAACATACGAGGCCTGAGATACAGACTGCGAAAGACGAGAGCAATCTCCACAGATATGACATCCCATTCAGTCAGAGAAAATAAAAACATCTTAAAAAGTCCTGCGGTTGATAACAAGTACCCTTATTTTTACAGCTTCCCTCCAGGAAAATACAAAGAACCCCAACCAACACAGTTGTTCCGTACTCTGTGCAACATTTTTTTGCGCGCTCTAGACTTATTGTCTCTGCCGGCCAAGGAGAACGCTTCGTGTTAATCATAGGCTGTCACTCTGAGTTACCATCTGAAGGCTGCACCTTTTGTTTTCTAAAAACATCCACTAATTTCTCCTTTTTGCCAAACCAGAAGGTCGGCTGAACACTGTTCTTTTGTATCTCGCTTTGCCTTTACCTCTGCTCAGGACTCAAACCGAGGTACTAAAAGAGACACACATTGATTTTCATCTAATAGAGTACAACGCTAGCTGTATTAGAGACTAAATGGGCTTCCCCCCCTCCACCCGCCCACCCAGCATTCATTCATTGGTCTGTTTCCATCTGCAGTCGGTGTCATCTCTTCTCTCGAAACGATGATGTGGAATGAGCGCAACATATTATGGTCTCAAAGTGTGCAAAGTGCTTTTATATCCATCAGCTTCGGCTACGACTTGCTTATTTTCCACATCATTGCATTACCTCTTTTTTTTTTTTCTTCCACGCGCTAGTTGCCTCACAGTTCTACTTGAACGGATTACAACATTTTCCGAGCTACTTTTACCCAGTTTACCATCCTCGTGTTTACCTCCAGAGGGACGCTGCATCCACGTCCACAAGGAGACTATAATGCATACTCAGCAGCAGACTAGCTTGAGAGTCAAAGGTGATGCAGATTTGGGCAAAATCGGTCCCAATAATTAATTGAAACACGCAGTAATGTCACACACATTTATTACACCGTGTATAGAATTAATTTCTACGCCTGTTCTTATAATTGTGCTGCTTTATTAGTCTCTGTCTTCCTTTCTAATTAACATAAAAGCCTTTCGTAACAAATGGAATTGAATTATTATTACAGAAATAAGGATGTGGTATAAGCTGGTGGCAATTAATCGATTAGCTGATTCAAATTAATCAGCGATTTTCATAATGGGTTTAATCATTCACAAACTCTAGTTGTATGTTTTTCTCTTATTTATATCTGAAGATAACAGCTGCTGGTTGGACAGAAAGAGTAATTTGAAGCCGCCAGCTCATACTTTAGGAAATTATTATTAGACTCACAATTAAAAGGGTGAAAATCGATGAAGCAGAACCACATTATCGTCTTTTTTATTCCACAAAAACATGGTGCCTACATTATGTTACACCTGGATACACACTGACGTGTTCCCCTTGTACCCATGATGAAAATAATCTTTAGTTAATAACACATAATACAACAGGGAGATTCATAGTTTCCTTTCCTTGTTTTCAAAATGTGTCTGCCGCAATGTCAGCGAGGCAAAATTCCCCAGCATGTATTGTACTTGGCATTTAAGTAATTCTGATTCATCCTCTTCCTCTGAATGCCAGGGCTGAAAGCAGTCTGTACCTGGCTCACCAAATTCAGCAGGCTCAAAATCGGAGCTAGCCCGAGTGGCGAACAGACTCGCGGCCATTCAGTGCGAGTCTGTAATCTCGGGCCGGTAACTTCACTTTCTGTTGAGCCCCTGATGTGACCGCCGAGCCGACAGCTTCAAGAGTCCCCCGCGGGCCGGGACGCGGCCTGTTTGGGGAACAGTGGGCCTTGTCAACGCCACAGTATGGGGCTCAAGAGACACAGCTACAGAGTTTGGACAAGCGGAGCAAATGAGCAGTCCTTTTTTTTTTTATATGCTACAGTACAATACTTGTGCTCTAATCCTCTCTGGACCCCTCAAACCTCCAGCTTACCTGGGTCAACAGTAAAAAGAAATGCCTGAATGTGGGTTGTGGCACACGTTATGAGCATGTGCTACACGGCGAACTTGATAAGAATACGGGCTAAAGTCTGATTTAATGTCACTGCTTAGGAACACCTGTGGTCACACGCCGCAGTAGTGTCTGCGGGCTTGTTTGGAGCCGTTCTCTACTCAGACAGGTTTTTGAAGCAGCAGGCATACGCCCACTCGCTGATTAGTCACAGGGGAGCGGAAGAGCGACCCGAGCTCAGCTGCAAGCAGGTTAAACACATGGCAGGTGGAAGGAAGTGAATAATTTTAAAAAAGAAATTAACAGTAATAGGCGAAGTGGGAGGAAGGGGGGGGGGAAACAGAAATGATGTTGGAGCTGAGACAATGGGAGCAAAGGGAAAGGTGTTGGGTCAGAGAGATGACTAACACGCCGCTGCTGCACGCTATCTGGCCCTCTGCTTCCTCTCATCATCATCATCATCATCATCCCAAGTAACATCCTAAGAAGTGGACACTGGGGGTATCTCTGCGTTGCATTCAGGAACCAAACGGCGGTATACGGAGAGTCTCTCTACAGTCATTATGCCAACAAAGTCTGACTGCCGGGCTAATTAATCACGCACAGTGCAACCGGTTGGATTTATTGGCTGTTTACATGGCGCGCGTGCGTATAAGTATCCATTAATCGTCCATGTACTGATTATTGAGTGAATATGTCAATCCTCTGCCGGTCACTGTGGTCGTTAAACCGCTCTCAGGGGGGGAATACTAATTTGTATAAAAGGTGAGCCGATCGGGGCAACGTTACCTCGTGGTGCTGAGGAGTCGTCCCATGTGCGTGCTGAAATGATTTTACATTTTTTGCTGAACGTTACAAGTGGGGGTGAAAATTTGCACTCAGCTTTTTCCACCCTCCACCCCCCCACCCACCTACGTCACAACCTGACAACTCATCTCCTCTGTAAATGCTTCATGTCCTGCTCTCTCCCACTGAATCAGCCCTCCTCTCCTGTGCCTTACTTATCTACTTACTCCCGTGTCTTCTAAATGTTTGTCCATTTGTTTACGCGTGAGGGTGTCTGGGCCTCGACAACGACGGCCTTTGCTCGTCGTATTTTACTGAAATAGGGTTTTAAAAAAGCGGTGAGACAAGCGCTCGCCTGTTAAATGTAAATTGAAATGCAAATCGGGGCACAGTCTCTCCGCACCACCAGCTTTAAGTGATGACCAGGAGCAAACTGTGTATTCTGCTTCACATTTAGAAACCCTCCTCTGCAACAGCAGTTATTATCCCTCGCTTCTGATAACATACCCCGTCTATGAGTGTGTTATTGTTGATGCTCCTCCATCCATAATACATTATTAAGAAGCTGTTTATACACACATTCGCACCCACGTACTCGGCTGTCACGCCGGATAAGCAAACCAAAGCACAGGCACCGCGCTGAACTTCTCTCACCCGAATTACCCATCTTGTAAAATACCTTTCCTGTCTTTCCCACACGATCCACCTCTTCCTCCCTCCTGCGTGCACTGTTCCTCCACGTCTCTGTGCAGCCCGGCTACTATCTTATCACACTCAAGGTCTCACAGAAGCCCTGGCTTCAGCCCAAAGTCTTGAACAGGGGGCACAACTTGGCAGACAAGGACTGCGGTATGTTTGGCAGTGTTTTTCCAGGCCTTTTGCACACAGAGTGATTTTAAAAAAAGAAAAGAAAAGGAGCCAGAGGGTGCCACTCCGTTTTAAAGAGGAGATATCTATGAAGGTTCACTTGACTACAATGAGATGAGCCACAAAAGATCCCTTCAGAAATAAGCCAGGGCAGACAGCAAGATGGGAAAGGTAGATAAGGGGCAGACAGGCTGGGCTGATAGAAACACACACGGATGATATGATGAGTAAGGAAAATTAGGTCCTGATACAGACTGCCTTTAATCCACACCACAGCTTTTTAAAAAAACTGAATTTAGGCAGAACCTAAAGTAGCTTACATTATTCAAGCGACAACATCTGCACCAAACCTGGCTGTGTGCACGAAATACAGAAATACAGACAGCAAAAAAAAACAAATGGAAGCGTTAAACATTTCACCCCTCTCCAAAATAAAAAAAATCACTAATAATCCACTTACCGGCCACAGAAGTCAGGAGGATCGTCAGGCAAAACCCAAATTTGGCGAGAGATTTCATCGTGATCCGGCCCATGACAGCCATGACAGTGTACCTCGACTTTGGTCTCGTAGTTGGAGCTCCTCCAAGTCCTGTTAGACGTCTTCTTGTTGTTTTTATGTTGTTGTTGTTGTTGTTGTTGCAGATACCACTTTGTTTTTTTTACCTCCCTTATTTTCCTCACGTCAGCTCAATCACTTGAACTGATCTCTCCGGCATGAAGCACATTGAGAAACGATGCAAAAAAATAAAAAAAAATAGAAGAAAAAGAAAAAGAGGCGCTGCTTGTTTTTTTGTTTGTTTTTCTTGCGTGGATTTGAGGTAACAGAATAATTGACTGCCACGATGATAAAAAAAGTTAGTTTAGCCCCTGCTATCGACTCCTGCGCAGACCGGACAGATAAAACCAGGCAGCTAACTTGTTTGGCGGATCTGCCATCTGCAGCCAGACAGCCAACAGCGTCCATATCTGCTAGCCCACATGCTAAGCTGCCCAGGGCGACTGTCTGCTGCTGGAAAACTTGGGGCAAGCGAGGGTAAATACCAGGAGAGGGGTAAAACAAAAAAGCACCGACGCACAACTAGTTCACGCCAACACACATTATCCTCGGTTGTTTCGCGGTGTGAAAACGCCCCGACAGCCCGACACAAGGGGCAGAATAAGTTGGCATATGAACGATAGCAGACTTAGCTCGGTTACCGACGTTAGCCTAAGAGCTAACCGATACTTCCCCCGCGTCCCGTCTCATTTCACGGTCTTCTTCTTTCTGGGAGGAGGGAGAGAGAAATAGAATAAAAATAAAAAGCACACTGGGTCTGCGATAGGACGGGGTTTATATTGCTCCCGAGCAGGCGGACGAGCGGGGTTGGTGGAAAGATTATCTCTGTTGAGTGACTTCCCGCAGAGGAGGGTCGGCTCCGTTTGGGCTGCTCGGAGCTCCGCTGCTGCAGACAGCACACTTCAGACAGACAGACAGACAGACAGACAGACAGACAGGGCGGCTGGAACGAACTGGTTTGCAGGCTTGTCGTGGAGCGGCCGCTCGTCTCCGGTATCAGGTTGCTGTGGGGTTTGGTGGTTAGGGCGGTGGGAGGACGTCCCACACAGCCAGGAGGAGGCTGCACGGCCGCTGTGCCGCAGACGGAACACAACACCCTGAAAACACGTGCTTCGTTCAGGCTTGCGGTAAAATTGGCGCGAGTTGTTGCGGCCACGGTTTGACAACAAACGCCGGATTACATGTTTTGTTTTTGTCTTTTTTGTGTCACTTGGGCAACGAACAAACGAGGAATGTTGAACGGAAAACCGCTAGGTACACTTATTATAAGTATTTTAGATATCGTAAAAGCGAAGAGTTGAAAGCAAAGAGGAGTGGATAGAATAATAGAAGAAAGAGGAGAAATTCAGAGACCATGATTGGGGGTTTATTAAAAGACTGCTGCTTGAAAATGGTGGGCCGCCGTTAACTCAATAACCATAGGACCAGAAAGTAAAAAAATGGGACAACGTTGCTAGTACAGACAAATATAAATAAACTTTACTATAAAAAATAATTTAAATAAATGAATGTGTACAAATATTGATAAGTTGATGTGCAAGTTAACAGTTACACATAATAATATCGCAATGTTCAGTATATAATCCAGTTATTATCTAATTCTGCATGAAAACATGATAATAGCCCAATAATACATATATACATTATTAATATTATTCCCACGGATATCCCATTTTTTTATGCTTTTCCAACCCTTCCACTTAAAGTTACTATTCCCGATTGCTAATAAAGGCATCAGTAGGTATTCAGCTATTAGTGTTACTTTACTGCCTCTGTGTGGTCAAATAACTTTATACAGAGTTTAAAGCCTAAAGCACAACCCGAATGGTTAAAACAATAATTATTCCAGCAGGTGGCAATGTTATCCTGTGCCTACGGCAGAACACTGCGTGGTTTGTACTTATATAACCCCCAAACAGTATTTAGTGCTGCTCAAATACTGTATTGATACAACAGTTGAGGCATTAATTGTCACCCAAGTCTCTGAGGTCTTTAATATTCCTATTTATTATCTATTATAAAAGCATAATAGTGATACCGCAGATGGAAAATAGTGGTATTTTGACACTATGAAGTCACTGCTGGGTGTCACTAGAAATAATGCAGGCATGTTATGTACAGTAGTTCGACTTTATAGTCTCCAGATATGATGGATGAATTAGTTTACAGTGCTGTCCCACTGAGTATTATTACACTGAGGAAGGGGGGGCGTGCCAGTTTGCGCAAGGGACCTCCGCTGACTGACGGGACAGAGCGTAGCAGGCTTTGGATGTTGCTGTCCGACTGCTGTCGATCAGGGAGGTCATCTTCACGTCTCCTGGAACTGCTCTTTCTACTGTAGATGTGACCGAGCTTGTGTAAAGTTTAAGGGCAGCGCAATGGCGGGATAGACCGGCGCCTGTGTGTGCATTTACGCACTTTGGACAGCACCGGAGCGCAGGATTTCAAGCCTCCGCACCGCCGCCTCGGGACTCTGCTCTTCTCAGTAACCTGTCTGTCTGATGCAAGGTGGGCTACACTATGGCTTCTGCTCCACCTGAGGCGAGGAAGTTCACCCGAGGGCTCAACAAACCGGGCACCGCCGCAGAGCTCAGGCAGAGCGTCTCCGAGGCTGTCAGGACGTCAGTGTTGATGGTGAGGAGAACTGGTAGTTCTACACACACAAGGCTGAATGCACATAACATTATATATCTCAACCAATATATACTGTTAAAGGCTTTCTTGCCTCCCTTGAGGGGGTCAGAGGTCAGGGTAGAGAGGTTGAATCTCTTGCTCAAGGACTATTACTACTATAACTCTTAAGTTAAAAGCTGCACTACCTACAGTCCTCTACCTGTGATAACACCGCTCATTATTTATATGAAAATAGTGACACTTCTATCATTCTGCTGTCACTTGTTGGTGCATATCCCCATCGTCTGACTCTGCAGGGTGTCTATTGTTACAACTTTCTCAAAGGGGTTGCCAGGTAACTGAAATATACACCTCCAGCTCCAAAGGCAGGAGAAAGAGACACACACACACACACACACACACACACACACTAAGACGTGCACACTCCTTTAGTTCATTCAGTCATCTGACCCCCCCCCCTCAGATGCACCTTGCAACCTGAGAAACAGCTGAGTAATGAGGAAGGTAAAAATTGCCAAAGACACAGTCTATTTTCTACAGCCTCTTTTCTATATACTCAGAAAATCATTAGTATATAATGAGGATGGTGATGGTATTGTGAAGGCATGACATATTGCCCTATGTTAAAACAGGCTCTATTGTCCCCTCAGAAGTCACCTGTTGTCTCTACATCCTCAGGGACTCGTCCACACTGACCTGACTAACCCTCGCCTGTGTGTTGTTGCGTAATAGTGATCAATATGCCATTTTCCTGCAACTAATTTGCTGCCAATTATAGCCGCTGTCTCTCTCTGTGCTCCCAGAGCGCCTGCTGATCTTATAATAAAGTCATCAAGAGACAGGCAACTGAGATTCAGTTATAATGAGGCCTGAGAAGTGAGGGTTGTTTGTTTTTTGTACACAACAAACACATAAATGCATTTTTCTGCTGCTTGTAGCCATAAAGCCAATCTGAAGTTAAATCGTCAATAGAGCCATCTGTGTCTCATATTGTGCCATCAAAGTCAGTTCAAAGCACACCAAGCATGCTTGAGTAGATGATATATTTTCCTTAGTTTGCTGAGACTACAGTATGTGTGGGGGGGGGGGCTCAGGGGTCCAGGCCAGGGTCCAGGCGCTGACCAGAGACCAGGAGATCTTGTCCGTGCTAGTTTGTAGTGTTACACTCACTTACTACGCGTCATTGCCTTCATAGTACAGCGAGGCTGTGCAGAAGTGGAGCAGACGTGTACATTTTGATGTGCAAAAGCTGCCATATGTATATTAAAAAGCATAATTACGTATATGTATTGACCAAAATGTGAATGACATATTCTCTGGACAGGAAGCACTCCCTCTCTTGGACAGGAAGCATGTAGACAGGAGTGTAGATAGAACAACGAGTTGGCGCCATTGTTGCAACAAGGTCATTATTCCTCACCAACTATCTTAGAGGAATACTTTGACGCTTTGGGAGGTACACTTATTCCCTTTCTTGTGTACAGTTAGAGCCAGTAGCCAGTTAGCTTAGCTTAACAAATTAACAGCATCTATAAAGCTCACTAACAAGTTATATGACATGTTGTGGTCTGATCAGGAGCAGTGAGGAAGGAGTTGTTTTTATACTTTATTTTGTACAGAGAGCTGGATGCTCTTTCCCCATATGTCCAGTCTTAATGCTTAGATTTAAATTTAACAGACACATAGATCAAAAGATTATCCTGTTCTCTCCTATTATCCTAACATATGGCAAAAGCATGAATAAGTGTTTTTTTCCCCCCAAATTTGGATCTATTCCTTTAAACAGCTATTTAGTATTAGCCTTTTGTAAAATGTGGGAATTTGGAAGAAACTTTGTTTCAATGTTTAAAATCAAACCAGCAGAGGCTGAGAAATCCCGACTTTTAGTGCTTGTATATAAAAGACTGAAAATGGTCAAGTTCCAAAAACACTTTATCCCACATTTCTCATAATGCAACAAATTGTATATTATGTTAGACCTGATGAAATAATCAGGGTTATTTTCTCAGACATGAAAGAGTTCCCCAGAGCCGGTTTTCACAGGCTGACTTGAACTACCCATGACGAGTAAATAAATGTCCCTTTAACTAACTTTGGCGACTCTACAATAAGTTCAGGGTGAATTAGCAGAAATCTGCACTTTAAAGTATGTAGAGCTACTTTGTATGCACGGTATGCATCTGGGTCCCATTATGTGCCTGATATAGTACATCTGTGAAGAACGTACTTCTCCTGTACCTCTATTTTTGACTGTGTACTTACGCTGCAGCTGTTTCCCCTGCCCATTTGACACGGAGACTGACATGCTGGTATGGCAAAAGCAAACATATATAGTATATATAGTATACTGGACATCAAAGAATTACCTCAACAACTCAGATTTCACCCAACTGACAACTTTTAATCCGATCAAACTGGTTTTGTAAGTTTAAGCCAGAAGGATGCAGGAAGTATTTCATAGTTGAAGGACAGGTGTTTGTATATATAGAGTCTCATATATCACACACTTCTCTTCCTGGTGTACAATCCATTATTTAGTCTTAATGTTCACCTCCACACTTATGTCATAGTAGCCTACTGTATTAATTCTGCCTCAGCCCACAGGGTGTGCAGTGGGATAA